GCTATATACCTGAGATGTTTCTTTTCTACTTGTGTTTTTACTTTCATTTATTTCAAAGTATTTTCTAATTTTTCTTGTGATTTCTTCACCCATGTTTGTTTAATTTACAAATAGTTGGGGATTTCCCAAATTTCTTCTTGTTGTTAATTTTTAATTTACCTCAGTTGTCATCAGGCAACAAACTTTGTATGATCTTACACATTTTTAATTTTCTGAGACTTGTTTATGGATTAAAATATCAGAGAGATGGATGTTCCATATGTACTTGTGTTTTCTTTCACTTCTTTTTTTATTTTTTATTTTTTTTGAGATAGGGTCTCACTAGTCTCTACTTTCTGGGATCAAGCAATCATCCTACCTCAGTCTCCCAAGTATCTGGAACTACAGGTGTGCACTACCAAGCCCAGGTAATTTTTAATTTTTTTTGTAGAGACAAGATCTCACTATGTTGCCAAGGCACAGAACTCACTATGCTGCCTAGGCCTCCCAAAGTGTTGGGATTAAAGGCATGAGCTAATAAGCATGGCAGAAAAGAATGTACTTTCTACTTTAGTTGGATCAAGTGTTCTATAGATGGCAGTAGGACAAGTTGGTTGGCAGAGTTCAAATCTTGTATATCCCTGATAATTTTTTTTTAAACATAGTTCAAATAAATCAAAGACCTCCAACTATTATTGTTGAACTGCCTATTTCTCCTTTAAATTTTATTTTTGTTTCCTCTATCTTGAACCTTTAGGCAGCTATATAACTATAATTGCTACATCTGTCTACGGAATCAACTCTTATGTCATTATGAAAAATATTTTGGGAAAAGAATTGGGGACAGAGCATGTTTAGTTAAGATTATTAAGGTCTGTGGAATTTTTGCAAGTTTTTGAGGCATATCAGTACACTTGTTTTCTGAGGAGCATAGTCATGATCATTCTTGCATCTACTGTAGAACTGTTTACCCAGGATCTATTCTGTACCAAGAATAACTATGGGAAAATAAAAATGACCATGCCAATGAAATAAGATTTTTCTTAGAAGACAGTACACTGAGGATACGGTTCTTCCTTTCAGTTTTAAAATCCTATTGCAAATGAGGATTTAAAAAATACAAAAGGGAATAAGAACTCAGATAAAAGATATAGGAGGGCTTAAGGTTTAGACAGATTTGCAGAAATGAGAAAAAGGATAAAACTGGGTCATGGAGAAAGCAACCATAATCCAGGAGGGCACAGGAGAAGGCTACGGTAGAAGTGGAAATTATTCACTCCGGTAAAGCCCTCAGGAGGGTTCAAGTTCAGAGTTGTCAGATACTGAGGTAGAAGTAGAAAATGGGGTTAGAGAATAGGGTGGTTCAAGGATTGTTGACACAGTAGCTCTGCTAGTGGGTCTTTCCCTCCCTCTACCAAATCTTTCACATGAGCAGAACCAATGTCACCTACTGCTCTTCAACAAAAATAAAAATCTGACTATGGAAGGTTAAGGATTCTAGCGTAGGCACTGGCATGCACGGGTAAAATTCCCCTGAGTAGGGAAAAGTATGAGGGTAAAGTCTCCTTGCCTGCCTGTTTCCCTCTCACACCCCAAAATAAAGCTTGGCAGTTCTCTACCCACATTCATAGCTCACTGCTACCCCTTCCATTCAGCAGAGGACTGCTGAGTAACAGAAAAACCCGTACAAGCTACTGATATTAAGTAATACAGTCTTGTGTTCTTCAGGATAAATACATAACCAAAAATCACCACGCAATGAAAAACGCAACAACATAACAAAAGTGGCACAAAATGAATAAACATAGTTAATGCCAAAAAATGCAGCTTAAATAAACAAAGACAAATGACCGGAGTTGAAGAAAGACATTGATTCAGATTGAAATGCTCACTGAAGGCCACTGAGGACAAATCTTAGAAGGCTAATTCCTTGAAACCACATAGTAAAATCTCAGAACAGTAAGGACAAAAAAGATCCTTAAGGTTTACAGAGGGAAAAAACAAACTATCAAGGAAAGAGATTGAGATCAGACTTTTCATTAGCAACACTAGTTGCTAAAACACAACAAAGCAATATCTTCAAAATTGAAAGAAAAAATAATTTTACATCTAGAATTTTGTTACTGAACAAACTCCAAAAAACTGTGACGACAAAATAAGTACTTTTTAGTTATACACATACTTAGAAAATTTACCTCTGTTGTATCCTTGTTTAATTAAAAAAAAATTACTTGAGAATGCTCTCTAGATGAAAAGGAATCCAAGATAGAGGAAGAATGTGATCTAAGAAGCATTGGATCTAACTCAGGAATATGATGAAAAGCAATTAAAATAAGCAATCATAGGAATTCCAAGAAGGTCTTCAGGAAGTTGACTGCATTAGGTAAGTTGTATGATTAAGATATTGGATGTGTTTAATATCATAATATCATAAAGGAATATGCTACTTTTGTCAACAGAGAAAAAGAAAATGTCAGAGGAAAAGGGGCTATATAAGAAAGTGACAGCTCAAAGAGGAAAAAAATTTATATGGGGCATGATTCTTTTTTTTTTTTTGAGTTGGAGTCTCACTCTGTTGCCCAGACTGGAGTGTAGTGGCCGTTTCTGGCCACCGCAGCCTCGACCTGCTGGGCTCCGGCGATCCTTCCGCCTCAGCCTTCCAAGTAGCTGGAATTACAGGCGCGCGCTACCAGGCCCGGCTAATAATTTTTTGATTTATTGTAGAGATGAGGTCTCGCCAAGTTGCCCAGGCGGGTCTCGAACCCGCGGGCTCAGGCAATCCACTCACCTCAGCCTCCCAAAGGCACGGTATTACAGGCTGAGCCACCGAGCCCGGCTGGGGCATGATTTTGAGTAACTGCTGCTAAGAGTAAGGAAAGAATTCATTTGACACTGACACTTATAATCTTACAAGCAGCAATGTTTACATGTCATAAGATTATATTTCCCCCCCCCCCAGATTCAATCATATGGGCCGGCCCTGTACAATATTAATAAAACATAATGTTGTATTCATTTTTTATTGCTATGTAACAAAGTAACACAAACCCAGCAGCTTAAAACAACACAATTTATCATCTCATAGTTTTTGTAGGTCCAGGTACAATTTAGCTGGGTCCTCTGCTTAGGGCATCACAAGGCTGCAATCCAATACTGTACTGTATAAATGCTACTGAAATTGTATGTGCACGTTCATATAAAAAAGATTTAAGGAGAAAATAAAAACATTACCTGTGATTGATTTTTTCCTGCTTAGATTTCTTATAATGTTAAATTTCTTAATAATTAAAAAAAAAATCCACTCCAAGAAGAGTTGCCAACACTTCAGATAACAGTCATAATTAAATCCACATAAATGGGCTGAGTAATTGGGTTCAAGAAAATGTGATTTGGTCAGTCAGAATCATCAAAACTGATACAAATTTTTAGTTAGTTCTGAGTATATATAGTTCTTTATAATTACCTTGTTTGATTTTCCTCATATTCTAAGATATCTGCAAAACTACTTGTTTTTAGTATTTAAGCTGTTAGAAATTTTGGGGGAATCTTTAGCCCTAACATAACATGCCTTATAATTTGTTGGGCAGGTAAAGTTCAAGTTCATGATTTACTGATGATTGGCAGTCAGTTTAGACAACAGCTCCTCAGAGGCAGGAACTTCCTATTCATTCCTGGTGCCCTATACAGTCACTAACAGTCTGAGTAAGCTGAAGTGCTGATTATCCTACACGTTCTCAAACAAAGGTTCTCAAAGCTGGAATCTGCAGGCTCCGGCGGCATCCACAAATAGCCTTGAAGGGCGGTGCTGGTGGGGACTGTCATTTATAAACTTCCTTAAATTTTACTACAAATTGTATGTATGTCTATTTGAGGGAGGAAAAGTCAATAGCTTTCAAATTCTCAAAGAGGTTCAACACCCAAAAGGGGTCAAGAAGTACTGATTAAAACAGAAACAATTATGAGATTTTCTAACACCTTAGAACTTCATAAATATAAAGGCATTTATTCAATTTTTACATCATGATTAAAGTCATAGAGCTGAAGAGGTATTATGAACTTAAAATACGAGTGAGGAAAATCAAAGTCCTCAATTCTAGGTTAAATCAACACTAGTTATGAAATATTATAAATCTACCCAATGATTTATTTACTAGCAAATAATTAATTTGGTGAGTAATTACAGCATGTCTATGCACTGTGTATCACTAAAAAGATTTGATGACAATGCCCAGTCATTTTAAATGTATTTGGAAAATTTGCTATTTGGAGGAGGCCAAAGGGAAAAAATTTACTCATTTTATAGTGAGTGTGTCAGGCACTGAGTTAGGCATCAAGAGTGCAAAAGGAAGAATATTCAAATCTTTTGAGAAGTGCACAGTCTATCAAGAAAGACAGATGTGTAAAAACATAATTATTTATGATACAGGTAGGTGGAAATGAAAAGTTTCCTGGGGAAACTAAAGGATGTTTCCAAAAACACCTGATGTATAAGCTGGTGAACTTTTACCAATATCAGATTAAGAATAGCAGGATAGGATGGACAACATTTCAGGGCATAGGAAAGTTTCTAAATGGAGCCCTCCTGTCTGTAGAGGGTAGGGTGGGCAAAAGCCTAGTGGAAGGTCTGGTTCAGATGGGAAATAACCTGCTATGAATTGATGAATTTATATGTTTTTCTGAATGCAACAAGCCATAGCTATTGGAGATTTTAAAGGAAAAAAGTTACTTAAAAAAAAAATTGGTGTTTTTGAAAGATAGCTCATGAAGCAATGTAGGAGATGAACTAATGTGGGAAAGAACAAATGAGGTTAAGAAAATTCTTGGGTAAATATATTATTATTTTCTGACAAAATCAAATATGCCTAATCTTGTTTGAAGTTCAAATTTTCATACATAACTTTTTAAAAAAGCAATACATATCCCTAGTTAGAGCCTTAATTCACAATTTAATGGCCAATTCTCATAGAAACCTTGTGGGTCTCCCATGTGCTTAGTAGGTGAACAGCCTGGCTGCTGCTTACCTGTAACCGAGAGATTAGTCACAGCAGCGCTGGTCAGAGGGAGGACAGGGCTGACTGTGAGGGTAGTTGCCGCACTGCTCGTCACAAGGCTTGGCGTGGTCGCCACCTGGAGGCCAGAAATGAAAATATGGACAAAGCACTTAAAATTTAAACCCATGTTGTGGACTTAGTTTGTCTGTAACATTTTTTAAACCCCAAGTACAACAGAATGAAGTAAAAGAGGCTAAGATGAAATTATTTTATATTCACTCTTTGGTCTTGGACTTGAGAAGTTTGGCATCATATGTTAGAAAGTTGCTATTAAAAGATGGGTTTTCACTGATATCTCAAATAGCTCTGCACAGGTTTCAAAAATAAATAATCAAAAGCACCCTAAGTCAACAATTTTGAGTCAGATATACTTTAAGTCAATAAAACATATTATACTATCAGCTTTACATAAATAAGAACACTATTTGACAGGATCAGAGAATCTGGGGCTCATGAATTACTTTTATATTTGACTCTGTGGTGGCAGGATTGGATTGGTGTGTGTGTGTGTGTGTGTGTGTGTGTGTGTGTCTGTGTGTGTTTTTTAAATTAAATGAAATTATGGAGAGACTGTGAAACAAATTTTTTAAAAAAAACTACAATTTTGGCCTGTAATCCCAGCACTTTGGGAGGCTGAGGTGAGAGGACTGCCTGAGTCCACGGGTTTGAGACCAGCCTGGGCAATTTGGCGAGATCTCATCTCTATAATAAATCAAAAAATTAGCCAAGTATGGTAACGCACACCTATAGTTCCGGCTACTTGGAAGGCTGAGGCGGAAGGATCGCCTGACCCAGCAGTTCGATGCTGGGGTGGCCATGAGCGTGCCACTGTACTCCAGCCTGGGCGACAGAGTGAGACTCCAATCCAAAAAACAAAACAAAACAACCCCCCCCAAGAGCCAAAAAAACCCATGATTTTAAAAATTAAATTTTGACAGTTTTGCAAGAAATATTGTTTTTCTTCTAGTACAAATAAATCTAAAACATAAAAGTCACCATACAAAACAAAATTATTTAGTATCTTTTTCATAACTACCTCATGAACTTAATGATTAAATATCTACAATTTAACAACCACAATCTTCACTTAAACTAATATGTGCTTTTAATGCTAACTCTAGTTTAATACTCTCAGCATGAAATGATATTCAAATAAAATAAAAACAAATTAACAAAAAAGGAACAGAAATGCAACAATCTTCCCATATTTTGAGTTCTGGTTGGCAATGTAGAAGTCACATCATCCTGAAAGTCAAGGCAATCACACGACCACTTTACGTCCCTTCAATCTAGGAATAATAATATAATGCAAACAGCAGCAGTTACTCGATGCTATACATAAAAGGACCATAAGCTGTTTGAGTGCATATTGGATATAACTGCATTAATACAAGTTCAGAGTTAGGAATTTACTGTCACTAGCCATGTAACAGTGTAACAGAAATGCAATAAAACAGGATGGAATTAAAACTGTCAATTTTAAAAAATAAGAAAGACCAATGAATTCTTAGGTTAACAACATGAAATTTCATTACCTAGGTAACATCTAAAATAGAAATATACACATATTTATTCAATGTGAATACATATACATTAAATTCCTATTATGGAATAAATTAATAGGTCATTTGTAAAATAGTAAAAATTAGCCCTAGAATTCCCCCCCCATATTGTTTATTCTTACCAGTGAGGTTGGGTTGGGGAAAATTGCTTTGATAGGTGAGCTGCTGGTCCCACCACTGCTTGGTGGGTTGATTCTTTTTTCCTTCTGGCGGCGGTTACAAAACCAAACACGAATCACCTCTTTTTCCATACTGAGCTGATCAGCAATCATAGTGATCTCTTCCGAGGTAGGCTTTTGATTCTGAGGGGAAAAATTACCCGTACCAACCTTTGGGTAACTTTTTGAACTTTTGGCATAATTATATCAGTATATAAACAAATAAACTGGGAGAGGTAAGCTGGGATATTATGACTATATCAGGTCACTTTCAATGAAGAGCGTCCATCTTCATGAAGAAGACATTAAACGTAATGAACATTACATTTATTAAAGGTATTCATATTAACTTAAAGTAAGTTATTCTTAGATTTTTTTCCATTTTTAAGATCTACTAATTTTGAATAAAATGAACAAAATACCAACGCAACCTTATGCATCAGCAGGAATTTAAGTTTTCTCTCTGTTTCATGCCATCTAACTTGGACCTCACGATAAGGCTGTGAGCAGAAAAGGCAGGCATTCCACAGACAAAGAAATTCCAGCTTAAAGAAATCATGTGATTGCCCAATCACAGTCAACAAGTGGCAGAGCTGATAACGATCCCTCACTTAGTGTCCTTCCAATGTGTTCAAGCCTTTTCTGAATTAGAGAAGTCAAAAATTTTATTAAAAGCTTTGATTATGATATTGTCTGATACAAAAAAATAATTGTCAAATATCTGTTGCATTAACTTAAACTCCATAGCTTAACATTCAGGATCTTGTGTTCCATTCTAGGTAGACACTAGGATTTGCCAACCAAACCACTAGTGTTTCTCCTGATACATCCCACAGTTCTCCCCACAATGACTCTGCTCACACATTTCCTTCCACTTCTTCCAGTCTGTGAAATTAATTCCTATACCAGCTGTTACCTCTCTCACATTGAGTGCTCACATGGATGTGACTCTGGTCTCTCCTGAACCCTTAAGGACTCTGGTTCTATCATTTACAACAGTAACTTATTTCTTTTATTTTTTCTATTATGTCATAAGTATCCATAAGGGTAGAGGTTGATATATCATCTTGTCTCATCTCTGGTTCCTAATACTAACTACTACACAATCAAAAGTAAAAACCTCACTGACCTCCAAGAAACTCTTCTCTAAGGCCACACGTATGTTGGTCTCTATGCTGGTGCGTTTCTTCCTCCTACGGTTCAAGCCCTCAACTCCTGGAGAATTCAGGGCACTTGGGCTGGAGAGGGTCGAATCAGATGAGAGGTTCTCTATAAGAATGAAGAAAACACAGAAATAAAATCAGCTGAGCATGATGATTTCTGTGTATAATACATATATTAACAATAACAAAGCTGACAAATAAGCTATAAGTAAGGATGAAAAGGTTTCCACACAACCTACATTAAATGTTGCTTACTACCATGCATCTTTCTACTGCCTTTTTTGACATTCTCTGTCCCAGGATGGTTTACCATATTATCACCACTATGTTTTGATTTCTGTTTCTGAGAAAGCAGTTTACCATTCCTACCCTTAAACTCAGTTCGTGCTCTCTCTCAGTTCTGTTCTCATGTTTTGCTTGTTTATGAGCTCTGAGGATAAAAGAAAGCTTCAATGGAAATTACTGAACATTTTATATTTATCTGATTAATAACCCCTTACTTTATTGTTATAATCTAGGGTAAAAAAGAAAAGAAAAAAATACTTGCAAATTCTTTTTTAACAGGGTTCTGTGATTTAACATTTCCATAACGCTGAGCATGTCATACACATCTCTGAGTTTCTTTCTGCTCCACTGAATGGAGTAGACTAGTAGTATTGTTTGCTTGTGAAACTCAGGAAGATACCAGATACCTAGGCCTCACCCATGGCTACTAAATCGAAATGCCCAAGGATAAGTGTTTCAGTTTGTCTTTTCCAAACAGCTAATTTTTGTTAATCTCTACAATAAGAACCACAGTCTAGGGGATCTCTACGGTCTTTAAAACAGTGTTTCACAGTCTGTAATTCTATGACTCAAAATCCAAATCTTCCAAAAGGAAACATCAGTACACACACAAAAGAATAGTCTGAGTGCTGCCCATCAAAAGAGGACTGGATGAAAAAAACGTGGCACATATACACAACGAATATTATGCAGCCATAAAGAAGAACAAAATTATGAACTTTGCAGCAACCTGGATGGACTTAGAGTCTATAGTACTGAGTGATCTTTCACAGAAACAAAGAACTGAGTATCACACATTCTCACTCATAAGTGGATCTTGAACAACTATCATTATACTATAAGAAAAGGATTGGCAGTACTGGGAAACTGGGGATGGGGAGGCGGGATCGGCAGTAGTGGAAATCTGCCTGGGGAAATGGGGGGCACACTTTATCAACAAGGGTACCTGCATAATTAACATTTGTATAACTAACCCTGAATTGTACACATCTTTAAAATAAAAAAATAAAAGTTAAAAAAATAAATAAATATATAAATAAATAAAACAAGTTGAAACTAGCAGACCAACATTTTTGTATAAAATGTGCTCATTTTCAATAACAAAAGGAAAAATATTACCAGGAACAAGTCCTATGATAATCCATCAAGGAAGAAATAATAAACTTGTTCTTCAAGTTTATCTAAATATATGGGCCTTCTTATCCTCGTCCTTCAACTGTGTTTGTCTCCTCAATACTGGTTCAAATACAATACATATTTCAAGGCTAAAAACTATTACTATTATTTATACTGTAATTACTGGATTATTTAAATGAATTAGCTTTCTGATTTACATAGCCATAATTTACAGTGATCCTTTCGTGAACAGTAAGCTTCAAGGTTCTGTAGTACCAATAATACACTAAGAAATATAAATATATATATATGACGGTCCTCTCTGCAAAATTCCAATGGACAATGAAGAAATGTCTCATATATTCACTTACCTGCATCATTTAGCCACTTCTCTAAAAGTGGCTTTAACTTGCACATGTTCTTAAAGCTGAGGTTCAAGGCTTCAAAGCGAGAGATGGTAGTTTGGCTGAAGTCATTTCCATACAGTTTCCCCATAGCAAGCCCAACATCACCCTGCACACAGCACAGAGCAGGAGGGGGGGAGAGGAAAAGAGAAAGAAAGTCATCTCACGAAGGTTTCCGCCTTCACTCTGGGATGTCGCTCCAATAACTGATCTAAACAAAGAATCAACAATCATTCCACTTACTGGGTCCACATAAATTCCATCCCTAGGCCAGGCACAGTATTCCAGTGAGGACTATGTTAGACATGATCATGACAGTGTTCAACACTGTCCCACATACTTTCCATTTTGAATTTCTTGCTACCTTATATAATAATCAAAATACCAAAATTTCTACTAAGTCTCAAAAGATAGTGCTGGTATTCTAACAAGCCCCTTAAATTATGCATCTAAGTGATATAAGTAACCTTTAATAATCAATTTATCTGTGTTACCTACAGAGATTAGATATAACTGTCTAGATAACTGTAGGTATTTCTGAACTAATCAAACTTGCCATAAATCACTTTAAAATTTAGAAATGAGCTCTCATCTTTTTTTGTCCCCCTAAAAAGTATTTCTGGAAGCCATACAAAAAATTCTATTTTCACCCTTAGTTTGGATTTCAAAGTTGGTCACAAAAAACAGGTATTCTAAAAGACCACTTTTGTAACCATTATAGAGATAGAAATTCACAGTAGAGAGGTTTGACCCATTTAGTCAAACCTTCATGGGCACTGGAAACTTGGTAACCCCGCAGCAATAGAACAATGATTTCCCCTGAATATATTACAAAAGGTGTCCTTCTCTATAAGCCTAGAACCTTTGAAATGTGCACAGTGCTTTTCTTCCAGTGAAATCTCTCTTGTCCAAGCTGGGAAAAGCCATATCTTCATAGTTATTTTATATACAGGTAACAGACACTCATGAAGTTTATTTAAATGATTCACACACTCATTCCAATTAGTTTAGTGATAGGGCAGAAAGACAACAACATTTCAAGCCCAAAGTATTACACAACTAACTCTACTACAAGGCAGCCAACTCCCAACTATCCTGGCAATGCTTATTTGGAATTGGAATTATCCCACTCCTTTGGTTTTTCCTTGCCCCAACCCATCTTTTGAATACTACATTGTTTATTACCATCTGCATTAGGTGGTAGCTGGGGAAAGAAAGTAATATATTTTTTAAAAACTCCATTTTCTTATTGGTAAGTAACTTCTGACAAAAAAAAATTAACAGGAGCAATGTTGAAACTGTAGATAAAATGAGGCACAGAGAATACTTGAACTTCAAATGATTTGTATCTTATGCCTTCCCATAAGATAGCCATCAGCCATATGTGACTATTTACATTTAAATTAATTAAAATACAAATTCAGTTCCCAGCACCAATAGCCCTTCCAAGTGCTTGATAGCCACAAGTGGACTGTGGGTACTGTACTGGACAACACAAATAGAGAACAACTGTATCATCCACAGAAAGCTTTAATGACAGCACTGAATACACTCTTGCTAATTGAACTGAGGTGGACTGTTTCTTGATTTCCTTCTGATTACAGTAAAAAAAAAAAAGAAGACAGAATAGTGTGAGCAAGGTATACATGCTATCCATTACATCTATATTGAAGATATTGATGAATATATTTGTCCCTAGCTTTATCTCTTACATATTTATTAAATATCATTTCATTCAATCAATGAATACTCACTATATGTCAAGCACTGAATCTAAGCTTTGTGTATCACATATATTCATGTCTTGGTCACTCTGTTTAGCTTATAGCTTTCTAGAAAATTGGGACCAACTAAACTTTGCAATTCTTTGAATTTAAGACCTTGTGAAGAAGTTAGATGGCAATATGTGTTTTCTGGCATTGTAACTGCACAATTTGCCACAAATTTTTCACAAACTTCTATAATGTCTTATTATAAAAGTCATGATTTTGACACATAAACGAAAAATAAAATACCAATTAAAAATCACTCATAGTAAGTTTAAGAAACAATAACTTAACATAGTAGCTGGAAATAAAGCTATGTCATTAACTAACTAGAACATGGCAATAAATGACAAATCTACTTAATCAAGATTTCTAATACAATTTTATTTCATATTTAAATTGTTTAATTAAATAAAAAGCAACAGGCCTCTCAATTAACACACTAATTTTCATTCCATATATTTGTTTTAGTGCTCATGTAACTCACAACCATGTTGGATTACACCCTCACAAAATTAAGTGTTTTAAGCAGTTGACTCATACATAGTCTGAACTATATTATGTCCTTTTGATATTTTTAAAAAGAACAAAAAGAAAAAAGGGACAAAGCCTGGGACTGGGAAATAAAGAATGGACCATGTGTGATAAACGTGTTATAATATGCTATTCTCTCTCTCTCTCTCTCTGTGTGTGTGTATTATATATATATATATATATACACACACACTATATACTGCAATACAAAATGGCATGCATGACAATCCTTTAATAAGAAACTATGTAATTAGAAAATAACTGCTTAAAACATCCAATAAGATGTATATTTACCAGAGAATAAGGCATTTTTTGTTTCAACAATTTAATAACTTAAATGTCTAATTTTCTTCTTGTGTGGGTATGTATATAAATATAGATAAACTGACTATAAAGTGACCTTTGAATAACTACAACTGGGGTATCTGACTTAAAAACAGAGGTTGATAGGCTGATTTTCCCATCTGCAGCAGCAGTATGTGCTTTAAGCTATGTAGTCAAAGCTTGTAACCATTACCACTGCTGTTTTAAAGTCATTTTGAAAATCAAGGAGGTGGGGCTCGTAGTTCAGCCTGTAATCCCAGCACTTTGAGAAGCTGAGGCGAGTGGATTGCCTGAGCCCACGAATTCAAGACCAGCCCCGGCAACTAGGCAATACCTTGTCTCTACAATAAATAAAAAATTAGCTGGATGTGGTAGCGCGCGCCTATAGTTCCACTGAGGTGGAAGGATCGCCAGAGCCCAGCAGGTTGATGCTGGGGTGGCCGGTGAATGTGCCACTACACTCCAGCCTGGGCAACGGAGTGAGACTCTGACTCACAAAAAAAAAAAGAAAAAAAAAAAAAGAAAATCATGTCAAAAAATAGGATAAAACCATAAAGTAAAACTCCTTTACATGGAGGGGCAGGGGAAAGGAAAGAGAAACAGAACACTGCAAAATGCTCAAATGCTACAGAAAGGCAAACCACAATTTGAGTAAAAGTTAAAGACTTTTAAAAGTCTTAACATCTCTGGCATATCGCTTAGGCACCAATCTCCCAAGGAACCCAACAGTATGCTGTGCTAATAGCCTCAAACTTGAAGCACTGCTAAATATGCTAACTTTATACTTATCTTATTCACTTTCCCCTATCAATTTAGTTTTATCTTTAGCTTTATTTTAAATCAAGTCATCATTTAGATGCTTCAAAAATATTAAAATGTTTCTGGAGGGTAATTTGTTTCTTCATGACAGAAATTCCTAACAAATGTAACTGCACTTCCTCTAAAATTGTATCTATTTTAAAAATTGTTTTATATCCCCAATACACAACTGGCTTCTTCAAGCAAAAATAAACTCCCAAAGAAACATAAGAAATTTAAGTCTATTCCTAAAAACACCTAGACTACATGCAGGGATGCCATCCCTGGTTTTCTCATTAACTGGAGCAGGTAGAGAATTACCGTACTTTCAACACAAAGCGATTTGAATAGTACTGAAGTGGTGGCTTAAAAACTCCAAATAGTGATGATTCTATTCTCTGGAAATAATAACTATTCTCTGGTTCTTCTGATTCCATGAAAACATCCAATTCATAACTTTAATTTTTTTTTTGCTTATGATCTTATACCATTTTACATATCTTTCATTCAGTTTTAATTGTTTGCCTGCTTTAAAAGCATTATTTGTGACAGGCTGATCAAAGAGTAAATCATTGGTAGTGCTTAGAACAAAAATGCTTGTACCCAGATGCCTGTTGAATCATTAAACACATTCACTTCACTTTAAAAGACCTCTGTTAGCTAATATTAAAAAAACTAATTTGGATTTCTTTAATTTGCGTTTTTCATTTTCAAGATTCTTATTTGATTAACTAGTTTCAGTATAGGCTGTGTGTGTGTGTGTGTGTGTGTGTGTGTGTGTGTGTGTGTGTACACACACACAGGTCTCCATCAACCCCCTCTTTTCCAAAAAACTATTTTAAAACAAATCTTTCAAACTTTTCCTGATTTAGCTACTAAAAAAGATCCCCTGCAGCATGTGGTGGCTCACGCCTCTAATCTCAGCACTTTGGGAGGCCCAGGTAGGTGGACAGCTTAAGCTCAGGAGTTTGACGCTGCGGTACCACTGCACTACAGCCACGGTGACAAAGTGAAACCCCAACTCAAAACAAAAAAGACCATGTAACCTTCACTGTTTCAATCTTACATATGTAGCACTAACTGGATATTTTTCAAATAACAAAACTCTCAGTACAGTCACATCTCCCAATATAATCTTTTAAACTTTCACAATATTGATGATTATGATTTCAGAGGTCTGTGTTCTAAGAGAAATCTTAAAGGTTTTAACCTAACATTAAATCATAAGTTTATAATTGAATGTATACAAACTTCTAAACTTAAAAATGCAGAAAATGGCTAACAAAAAAGTATAGTTTAAAACCAAAAAACAACACGGCCGAGGAACATATTAGTCCTCAGAAGCCTCTCTGGACATGTAAAGCAAATACAGTTGTTCCACAGTGTGCACGGGAGATTGGTTTCAGGAACCCCCTGGAATACTAATATCCACACATGCTCAAGTTCCCCAAATTATAAAATGGCATATTTGTATATAACCTATGTACATCCTCCTACATACTTTAAATCATCTCCAGATTACTTATAATACTTAAGACAATATAAGTACTATTAAATAGTTGTTCTACTGTACAGTTTAGGGAATAATGACTAGAAAAAAATGTATGTACATGTCCAGTATTTATGTGACCATTCTTTTTTTACCCCCCCAAATTTTGGGTCAATGGTTGGTTGAATCCACAGATGTGATGCCCACAGACACAGAGGGTTGACTCTATTTGAAACCAGACAAAGAGGGAAAGCTAAGTAAGGATGGGTTCATCCTACCTGAGTGAATCCAAGTTTGATTCGTCTTTGTTTGAAGGTCTTGGCAAACTGCTCAAGCTCCTCAAGGTCACTGGGCTCCTCCAAGCTGGGAGTATCAATTCGCTTTGGTGTTGACTGGCTCTGTGGAAGTGTCTGAATTGGGGTTGCTGCTATTGTGCGTGTTGGGGTTGCTGGCTGTTGGAGAAAAAAACAGATCAGTAAGAAAAAACACAGAGATATTACAGCTTACAGCTGGAATGTACCATAAATAAATAATTCAAGGAAACAGTCACACTGATGGAGAATGCTGAAGATCATGTATCACTACAGAATGTGCAACATAATGTTCAGGAGAAAAGTTGGTTGAATTCATGTGTCTTATAATTATAGTTGATCAAGATGAAGCATGTAATTCTATTGAAAAAACTTGAACACACAAAACGAAATCTATTATATCTGGATTTGCAAATGGTCTGAATACATGTATCCTAAGCCTTTTTAATATATTATTCTTTATTTTATTATTTTTATTTTATTTTTTGTCAGAATCTCACTCTGTCTCCCAGACTGAAGTGCAGTGGCATGATCACGGTTACCCAGCCTCAATCTCCTGGGCTCAGGCCATCTGATCCTTCCACCTCAGCCTTCCAAGTAGCTAGAACTACAGGTGTGCACCACCATGCCTGATTTTTTTGATTTATTATAGAGATGAGGTCTTGCCATGTTGCCTAGGCTGCTCTCAGATCATCCTCTCACTTTGGCCTCCCAAAGTGCTGGGATTACAGGCATGAGACACCACACCTGGCCTATTCATTACTTTAAAAATGTATTTCATAAATATGGGACTTAAACTGTCAGCAGAGACCATATCTGGCTTGTTTGTCATTATCACATCTCCAACATATAACATAGCATTATAAAAATAATATTACAAGATTATTAATGCTATATTAAGGGAGAAAAGTAAATTGTAGTTTAAATAGCATTATAATAGGTTTCATTTTTGTGTATTTATTCAAGTTTTTTTCTCCACAGACCTACATTTTTAAACCTTAACTGTAACTACAGTATACTTAATTTTATACTGTGCTTTTCTCATTCAACATTGTCTTGATTTTTTTTAATGGTAGTTCAGTCTTCATAATTATCCTTTTGAAAAACTGAATGAGGCAATATTATCATAATTTATTTAACCAGTTCTTAATTACTGGACACTTTTCATTTATGCTTTCACTAACACAAACAGCACCACAATAAAAAACTTTATGCATATTAGTTACTTTTATATCTATGTACTCAATTAGTTCTTTGAAATAAATTCACAAGGATTTTCTGGTAACTGGATAGACAATTTCATGGCTTTTGATACACAACATAATGCTGGTTCCCACTTTACAGGGCTAGTTTCCACCACATAATTTGTGTTAATAATTTAAAAAAATGTTTTGCTGGCTGAGATCGGTGGCTCAGCTTGTAATCCCAGCATTTTGGGAGGCCGAGGTGAGTGGAATGGATTGCCTGAGCCCGTGGGTTTGAGACCCGCCTGGGCAACTTGGCAAGACCTTGTCTCTGCAATAAATAAAAAACTAGCCAGGCATAGTAGCATGTGCCTGTAGTTCTCGCTACTTGGAAGGCTGAGGTGGAAGGATTGCCGGATTCCAGCAGGTTGAGGCTGCGGTGGCTGGGAGCGTGACACTGCACTCCAGTCTGGACGACAGAGTAAGACTCCGACTCAGGAAAAAAAAAAAGGCTTTAGTAATTCAGGGAGTAAATGGTACTTTGCTGCTGCCTTAACTTGAATTTCTCTTAGTTCTCAAAGTCAAAATTTTCCTATGGATCAGTTATTGTCTGTAATTTCTTGGACTTAATCCATTTATATAAACTGGACTTACATCCTTAACCCATTTATATATTAACAATTTACTTATTTTCTCATCCTTACCTTAAAGAGATCATCAAATGTTACAGATTAAACCAAGTCTTTCATATTAATGTAAATTAATTTTTCCAATCTGCTTTTTCTCCTTTTACTTTTCAGTGTACATAAGCTTTAAATAATCATTTGGGTAAACTTTTTATTTTCTTTCCTAATATCTTCTGTTGCTTCAGATCTGAGAAAACTTCATGTATTTTAAACTCTATAAAATTCCTTTCAATCTGCTAGCTTTTTCTATGTATCTTAAATATTTGATTATTTAAATTAATTTAAAGTCTTATTTTAGGACAAAAGAATATAGTCTCTCTTTTTTTAAAGAAAACATTACATTAACTTTTAATTTTAATTTTATTTTATTATAGAGATATAGGGTACAAGTCAGAATCAGCTACAGAAGTGGGCTGCATGCAGGTGAAGTCTGGGCCTCCAACTGGGCCGTACTTCCCCGGGTAGTAGACCATGTACCCTTTGTGTTATTATGTGTCACACCATACCCTCCATGGTAGTGTCCAGTGTCTGCCAAACACTTCCTTGTGCTAATGTGATTAATGTTCAGGTCCTACTTATGAGTAAGAACATGTGGTATTCTGTTCTTTGTTTCTGTGATACATTACTAAATATGATGGTCTTCAACTCTATCCAAGTTGCTGCAAAGTCCATGATTTTGTTCTTCTTTATGGATTTATAATACTCTATCATGTATATGTACCATAATTTCTTTATTCAATCCACTTGTGATGGGGAGTAGGGCTAGTTTCATGTTTTTGCTATTGTGAATAGCATAGCTATAAACATGTGTGTGCAGGTGTCTTTTTTGTAAAACGATTTATGTTTCTCTAGGTATATTCCCAGGAAAGGGATTGCTAGATCATAAGAAAGGTCAAGTTTCAGTTCTTTTAGGAATCACCACACTGCTTTCCATAGAGGTTTAACTAGCTTGCACTCACTTTCACCATCAGTGTAGAAGCGTTCCCTTTTCTCCACACCTGGGCCAACATCAGTTGCTTCTTGATTTATTTATTTATTATTTTATTATTATTTTTTGAGTTGGAGTCTCACTCTGTCGCCCAGACTGGAGTGCAGTGGCATGCTCCTGGCCACCGCAGCCTCGACCTGCTGGGCTCCGGCGATCCTTCCACCTCAGCCTTCCGAGTAGCCGGAATTACAGCCATGTGCTACCATGCCCAGCTGATTTTTTGATTTATTGTAGAGATGAGGTCTCGCCAAGTTGCCCGGGTGGGTCTCGAACCCGCGGGCTCAGGCAATCCACTCACCTCAGCCTCCCAAAGTGCGGGATTACAGACTAAGCCACCGAATCCGGCTGTTTCTTGATTTATGAATGGCCATCCCAGCAACCCTAGAGTTAGGTGGCATCTTATTTGTAGTTTTGATTTGCATTTCTATGATGAGTGAGGCTGAGCATTTTTTTCATGACCTGTTGGCTGCTTAAATATGGTGGCTCAGCCTGTAAACCCAGCACTTTGGGAGGCCGAGGTGAGTGGACTGCCTCAGCCCGCGCATTCGAACCAGCCTGAGCAACTTGGCGAGACCTCGTCTACACAACAAAAAAAAGAACAGCTGGGCGTGGTAGCACGCACCTGTAGTTCTGGCTACTTGGAAGGCTAACGCGGAAGGATGGTTGGAGTCCGATAGGTCAGGCTGGGGTGGCTGTGAGTATGCCACAGCACTCTAGTCCGAGTAAGAGAGTGAGATTCCAACTAAAAAAACTCAAAAAAACAAAATGAAAAGTACATGTCTATTCATGTCCTTTGCCTAGTTTTTAATAGAGTTGTTATTTTCCGTTCAGCTCATTTGAGTTCCTTGTAGATTCTTGATTTTAGGCCCTTGTCAGATACATAATTAGCAAATACATTTTTATATTCTGTGAGCTGTCTCCCCACTCTCTTAATGGTTTCTTTTACTGTGCAAAAGCTTTTCAGTTTGATGAGGTCCCACTTGTCTTAGTTTTTTTGTTTTTGTTTTTCAGTTGTAGTCTGACTCTGTCGCTCAGGCTGAAGGGCAGTGGCATGCTCATGCTACTACAGCCTCGACCTGCTGGGCTCAGGTGATCCTTCTGTCTCAGCCTTTCAAGTAGCTGGAACTACGGGCACGCACCACCATGCCCAGCTAATTTTTTGATTTATTGTAGAGATGAGGTCTCACCAAGTTGCCCAGGTTGGTCTCAAAACCGTGGGCTCAGACAATCCTCTCACCTCAGCTTCCCAAAGTGCTGGGATTATTGGCATGAGCCACTACGCCCAGCCTATCTTAATTTTTAATGGCATTCGCTTTTGGGGATTTGGTCAAGAATTGGTTGCCTACTCCAATGTGCATTAGAGTGTTTTCTACATTTTCTCTAGGATTCTTATAGTTTGAGGTTTTATGTTTAGGTATTTGATCCATTTTGATTTTTGTAATTGGTGATAGGTAGGGGTCCACTTTCATTCTTCTGCATGTGGTCAGCCAGTTTTCCCAGCACCATTTGCTAAATATGGTCTCCTTTCCCCAGTGGTTTTTATTGGTGGCTTTATCAAAGATGAGTTGGTTGAGGAATTGAGTTTTTGATTCCAGAGTCTCTGTCCTGTTCCATTGTTCCATGTGCCTATTTTTGAAACAGTACTGGCTGTTTTGGTTACTACAGCCTCACAGTATTAAGTTTAAAGTATGGAAATGTGGTACCTCCTGCTTTGTTCCTTCTGCTGAGGATTGTTTTGGATATTTGTACTCTTTTTTGTTTCCATATGAATTTCTGTATTGTCGTTTCCAGGTGTGAGAAAAATTATGTTGGCAATTTGATGGGTATTGCACTGAATTTGTAGATTGCCTTGGGTAGGATGGACATCCTGACAATGTTGATTCTTCCAATCAATGAGCATGGAATATTTTTCCATTTGTTTGTGTCATCCTTGATTTCTTTGAACAGCATTTTATAGTTCTAATTATAAAGATCTTTCACTTCTCTGGTTAGGTAGACACCATGGTATTTCATTTTGTGTGTGTGGCTATCGTGAATGAGACTGCACTTTTTATTTGGCACTCTGCTTGTTGCTGGTGTGTAGAAATGAAACTGTCTTTTGCAAATTGATTTTGCACCCCAAGACTTTACCAAAGTCAGTCATCAGTGTAAGGAGGTTTTTGACAGACTCCTTAGTGTTTTCAAGATATAGGAGCATATCACGTGCAAAAAGGAATAGCTTGACTTCTTTTCCTATTTGGATACCCCTGATTTCCTTCTCTTGCCTGATTGCTCTAACTAGGA